GCTGGGAAAGATGGCTCAGCCCTGCTCTCCTGTCCTGGGGCTCTTGTTATCTGTTTATACACATTTTGCTATTTATATTTTAATTTATTATCACATGGCTAGGACTGCTTGTACAAGATTTTTTGTATTTTATTTTTTTGAGTCGGAGTCACTACACAGCCTTGGGGCCATTCCATCTCATCGACTTCCACCGACTCCTCTGGCGCTGCCCTTTCCGTCAGGGCTTCTCTGCTGTCCCTGGGTGGGAAGGACAGGCTGAGGCTTGTTCCCCTGAAGGGAGCAGCTCGGCCTGCCCAACCTCCTCTTCCAGGCCCAGCCGCTTACCCAGCTGGGCCTGGAAGAATATCATGGCTGAATATCTCATCCTCCTCGTCGTCGGAATCCTCGTGGTGCAGATTCTGCACCACGTTCTTGCACGTGGTATTGAAAGGTCTGTGCATGTCCCTGAGCCAGAGTGGCCACCTCAGCCAGAAGCCCTCCTGGAAGAAGAGAGGGAAAGATGGACACCACGCTCCCACCTCCCAGGTGCCTGCCCTCGTGGACTTACCTCCTGCTCCTTAGACGAGCACTTCCTGTGCAGCAGAAACCCAAAGAAGCCCCTGGGGAGACATGCAGCGTGTTAGTGACTCCTGCCTCCTCCCAGGCCACCCACAACGTCTGCCCGGGTCTCATGAGGCGTGGGAGTGCACCTCGGCCCATAATCACAGGGAGGAAACCCTGCCCCAGGGCCGGGCTTGAACATGATTCACTGCAGGCGGGACTCCCAGAAGCCCTCCATGTGTCAGAGGGCCCCACAGTATCTCGGAGTCTCTGATGGCTCAGCAAGGCGCAGAGGTGGGATTTTCAGCCCCACTCAGCCTGTGGCCACGGCCCTTGTTCAGTGAGCACACTGCCCAACCAGGCCGGGCGGAAGCATGGCACGCCCTAGAGGGGCAATGTACACCCGTCTCCTCAGACGTGGTCTCACACAGCAGGAGCCAGGTGGGGGGACGGGTGCTTCTATGACCCGGATGCTCTACCCTCTGAGCCACGTCACACTGCTGGAGCCTGACCAAACACCAGGGTGAGGAAGCATCCTTCCTGCCTCTGGCAGTGACCACACTACAGAATGAGGGATGACCAGAGGTGCGTTCCCTCACGTAAAAGTTGCAGGGTTAACGTTTATCTTGAGGTTCCTTGTTTTTTCATCTTCTTTCCATGAGCGTAAATCTGTTTTGGAAGAAAACGTG